AGAGGCATTTTTATGAGATTCTATAGCAATGGAAATGTGGAATGCCTATGAATAAAATTTATAGAATGCAACTAAACCAATTAGTTAAATGCTTTTTCTCTTATTAATATATTTTGATGTGAATTAGAATAATATGTATGTGTTATGACTTTACTACAAGTTGATGATGTCCGTAGTTTTAACGTGTATTGTTGTGTTTTTGCTATGTATATTATGCAAGTATGTATGAATTATGACACTAATTCAAGTTAATAAAGTGTTTAATGTTAACATTTATGATTGCTTTTTATGTTCTTAACGTTTTTTCAAGTTGCCAAGTATATTATAAAATTGTTTAATTAAAATGGATGCTTTGCGAGTATAGAAGATGCGTAGGGGAAGCAGCAAAAGAATTTACAGGATGATGGTTCTACCGTAAGCAATATCTTTTGGAGCACTCGAAATGGATAATGTATTAATTGATTGCATGCTTGAAGAGAAAATCAAAGGTAATCGACCGGAAGGACATTGGACAACAACGACTCGAGATAACATGTTACGAGTTCTAAGCGCTAAATTTGGGAATCACATCTAAAAGAACCATATTAAGAATAAACAAAAGACATTGAAGACAACTTTTAGTGAGGTGAAAGACTTATTTCATGGTGCAAGTGGGTTTGGTTGGAATCCCGAGACAAAGACTTTTAAAGTAAGTATCGAGGTTTGGAGAGAGCTAATTCGTGTGACTATCATATATAACTTTTATGAATATATTACTTTCAAAGTATATGATAAATTACTCTTAATGTGTAGGAAAAACCAAAAACGCGAAAGTGGATGCATCATCCAATCAACAACTATGATAAATTGAATCGGATATATGGCGAAGATAGAGCTAGTGGAGAGGGTTCTGCAAGTGCTAAAGAGAGGTTGATGATATGGGAAAAGGAAGGTTCATAGAGCCAATTTGATCTCAATGAGGACAATACGTAACATTAGATAGCGAAACAAATTGGGGGAATCAAGTGCCAAGCTACAATGCAAATGTTAACTTCTATACTTTTAAGTATGTAGCTTCGCCCAATTCCGAAGAAACAAACTCATCTAGAGGCATTAAAAGTAAATCTCATATGGTGGAAGCAATTCGAGTCAATCCGAAATGATGCGTTTAGGAATGAAAGAAGTCTCCGAAGTAATGAAGGAAGGAAATGCAATTGTGGAGAAGTCGTTGCAAATTTTAGAAAGGGGCAATGAAATATTAGAAGAAGGGAACTTTATTGCACAAAGGTCATTGACCATTTTAGAGAAGGGACATTAAAATTTTTTTCATGAGGATGAGATATTCACCGAGCTTGAAGTGATAGGATTGCAATCTAGCTTCCAAATGAGTGCATATTGCTTTTTAACCGATAATGTGTCACTTAAAAGACAATTCTTTGGGTTGCCTCATCAAAGAAGACTTGAATTTCTAACACGAGTGATGGTCGAAAGAAGTGGTCGATGAAAGTAAGTTAATCATACACAAGTTGGAGTATAATTTGTTGCTTTTTTCAATTGTTTCAAATTTATTGAAATTCCAAACTCGTTCCCTTATTATTGCTCAATGTAAACATCTGTTTTCTTGTTGTTATTTATTTATTTATTTTGCGAGCTAGGCTACTTGTGTATGCAATCAATTGGTGAAGTGGAATATAAGGGAACATATTCGAATCACATTTGAATTTTTGTTGTATTATGAAGTTCAAGTGTATTTAGCGGCTATTATATGTGGATGTCGTCTTAAATTGTAATGACTTAACTAGAAACTCGTGTAACTTTATTGTGGTAGTCGAACAAATTGATGCTAAGACTTTCATAATTATTTGTAATGTGTACGTAGAACTTGATCCTATAACCTAATTATATGTAGTACTTGGGATAGTAGATGTAAACTTGTATTGTGATGTTCGTATCCTTTCTTTGTCAAATAATTTAGAGTTTCCATTTTATCCACCCTCCGATCCAAGAGATATTACTCATGTAGAGGAAATGAATTTGTAATTAATTTTTTTATTAGGCTTAATTGATAGGATCGTGGGTAGTGTTTGTGAATGCATCCATTTCCATCTAAAATTTGACATCTACTAGGATTTATAATCACATAAGAAAATCAAATCCACAACTTGAGGGTGATAAACAAGTAAGAATCAAAGCTAAAACTTGGGGGCCATGATTTATTTTTGCATATTAGCCCATAACTCTACATAAGAAATTGTCATCATTTCATTCCTCAACCCTTTCACATTTTTTGATCCGGTACTTAGGAGACCCAACACCTCCCCCAAAGCACCAAAACTAGCTCTCAAACAGCTATAAACAAGCCCCAAAACACCCTAAAAAATAGGCTTAAAACCAACCCCAAAACAGACTTAACACCTACCCAAAGCCCCCAAACGCGACCACGAAACCGTTATCAACAACCCTCCAAAACCTTACAGAGCAACTCTTTTGGACGGATCATTTGAACCACCAAAGCAGCTCCAAAAACACCCCTAAACCAGATTCAAACCACTTAAAAAAACCCACTAAAACGAGACACAAAACATCCCTCAAAACAACCTCTCGAATAATTTTTGGAGTTACCGCAAAAGAAGAGATAAAAATTATTATTAAAAAACAAAAAAGGCTAAACATATTTTCGTGTGTTGGATTATTAGTAGCCACAACATGATGTTGTAGGTTGCATTTGATTGAATCTTTTTGATAGGAAAATAAGCAACAAAAGCTACCTTGGGCTTTCGTGAACTCTACAAATTTTACGAGTAAATTTTGAGTGTTCACCCAAGTAACGGATTATGTCTATCTATCCAAATATGCAATTTATCTAATTTTTTGTGATTCAATTGACTTTCCATGATTGTTCGCAATGCTATAATATACTCTTCTTCTTTTTTCTTTTTTTTTTTGAATTACTAAATAGTAATTTTTTAATAAAAAAAAAAGCTAAGAAAATGATGGCTAAAGGCAACTAACTTATTATATGCATAGATAATAATACATGTTATACATATTCAAATTAATTTTATGTTGATAATTAATCTAAATTAGCTATTGAATTAATTAATTAATTAACGATTATCGATTATTCTATGGAGACGATTCATTATCCATCTTATCATTTCAAATAGATGCTACATGCTAGATTTTTATTTTATTATCATTTGTGCTATTTTTATGAAAAAAATATTCATACAAATTTATTATAAGTATTTAAATATAAAAATATAATCATAGGGGTATTATAGTAAATATATAATAATACATTTTCTTTCCTCCCTCTTTTTACAATTATTCAAACAAGGAAAATATACTTTCTTTCCTTTCATTTCTACTCTTATCCAAACAACAAGTGAAAAATAGTTTTCTTTCCTCTTCCTTTTCTTTCCTCTCACTTTCTTTGCTCTTTTTTCTTTCCTCCCAAGAGAAAATATCCAAACAAGGGGTTAAAGCCATCCCAGGACGTAAGCAAGGACCCTAAAAGGAACATATAATTCTTCTTTATATTCTAAAGCGACTTTGAAAAAAAAATAGAAAAAAAATTCAAAAATTCCCCAACTTGTCATATTCTCATTTTGTTACCTTGCTTATTATTAATGTGCTTCACAAGTCTATATATGTATATGTATATGTATATGTATATACATATGCTTCAAATTTCCAAATAATTTAGGAGTAAAAAATAAATTAATCCCTTAAGTATTGAAAAAAAATTACTTATTTTTTTATTTATTTCAAAACTAATTATGTAGTTTTTTTATTAGTATTATTCACATTAGATTTAATATTATTTTATTTTTTAAAAAATATTTTTTACCAATTTTTTCACAATATTTATTTAATTTTTTAAAATAAAAAATAAAACAAATAAGAAAAGAATATAAAATAAACTAAATAGTTAGTTTTTAAAACAAGAAGGATTAATTATTGGTTTCTCAAATCTAGAAGGACTAATTTATAATTTAATCCATAATTTGTTCAGCAGCGTGGGTTAACCAGGCAACCAGCATTGCTATCTGACTTCTTCGGGTCGTGCGGCATCTGGTAGCAAGTAAGTTAAGCTGAGTCGAGTTGGGTTCGATTGGCCCGGAATACCCGGTTGAAAAGCGTGAAAAAGAAAGAAAATAAAACTCGCCGCCTGGGTTTGTTAAAATCCGAAAAAGATTAAATACACAGAACTCCTCGAAACGTAGGCGTTTTAGACGAACAAACAAAAAGGAGAAGCAAATCAAAGCAGAGAAGGAAGGGGCTGCAAAGCAAAAACATAGAATACTTACCATCCACCTTAATAAGCTTCTTGTTTGGTCTCTTTCTACACTTTGCGATAGTTAGCTGCTCCGCCCCTCCATCGTTCCTCTCATCTACAGCTACACTCCGCTTGTGCTACAAACAAACACTCTTGAGGTAGGCGCTCTTTCTTTTTTTGTTTGATCTTTATATATATATATATATAAGAAGCTTTCTCTGGTGTTTTATTTTTGTTCAATTCGAATGGCGAAATGAAAGATTAGTAGATACCAGAGATTCTGGAATTGCTATTACTATGGGTTTCTTATGGGTTAATTTAGATTAATTTTGAAAGATTAGATGTTAGATTTTTTTATTTTCAATTTGGGTTTTTAATTATAATGACAATAATAATAATCTTCAGCTCACTGGTTTATATTTATATGAATTTGTGTTCGAATTAGCTTAGCCTCTTTTTTAAAAAAAATGAATCGCTTAGCTTAGCTGAATTTGTGGTTCAATTTACTATTTTTTATTTGGGTTTAGTTCAGTTTTAAGTTTGCATGTTAATAGTTTGGGTTTATGCATATACACACATACACTTCCCTTTTTCTTGTATATTACTGCATCTATTAATCTAGTCAATTTGTTATTGTGGATTGCTTTGGCAATTTCATTATGGGTTTTGAATGTAAGTTGTAAATTCTATCAGACATTGATGTGGTATACGTGCCAGCAGAGACAGTAGTTGGACTCTAATGGCTGTTCGTGCACCTCCAAAGGCAATTCCCAATAATTTCAACGATGATGATGATGATGGGCCCATAGTTTTCAAGAGGGGTGGTAACTCAACCTCTAAGCAGATTCAATCAAACTCTGAAGCAAAGAAACCTTCTTCATCTTCTCAGAATTCCAATGGTGAAAGCCTGAATGCCCAGAAGGGTAAATTGCCGATCCCATCTTCCAATGCATCCCCTGTGAAATCTCCTATAGGGAGCCCAAAAGCATCAGTTTCATCTGCCAAGGCATCCCAGTTGAGGTCACCTAAAGAGTTGACTTCTTCAATTGATCAGTCGAAGCTGGCATCTAAACAGGTTGTCTCAAATGCTGTTAAGGAGGAGACCAAACCGATTGTGGATGATGAGGATTCTGAGGATGATAGGCCCTTGAGTTCTAGACTTAAGGGGAGCGCAAACAATGCCAATAAAGGGGTTACTGCACCTGCTCGTGTCAAGGATGAATGTTCAGATGATGATGAAGTCCCTTTATCCTCGAGGTTTGCAACAAAGTCAAATGCAGGGACATCAAGTAGTAAGACTATCAGTTCTACTGAGAAGAAATCATTGGCTTCTAAGCTTCAGCTAAATGGTTCTACTACAAAGGACAAGCAACAGAAATCATCTGTGGTGCCAACTAAGAGACCTATGGATAATAAGGTTTCTTCGAACCAGTCTTCTGCTAAAAAACCAAAACTTTCAGATGCATCTACAACAACAAAAGTTAAGCAAGTTACTGTAAAGGTTGAGCAGAAGGCAGATGATGATGACCACCTTACAATTTCCCAGAGAATGAAGAAGACAGGTTCCTCAGCTAACAAATCACTGTTTGCAAAGAAAAAGGTAACAAACGCTGTTTCTTCCGCATTGAAGAAGACGACTAAGAACAAGAAACAAATGAAAAATTCAAAATATTCCAAGTCAACAAAAGTACAGCCGGGCTCCAGTGATGGCCAGAAAAAATGGACTACCTTGGTTCACAATGGTGTCATCTTCCCACCTCCATACAACCCTCATGGGGTTAAGATTCTTTACAAGGGGAAACCAGTTGATTTGACTCCTGAGCAAGAGGAGGTGTGTTTCAGTTAGTTTATGTTGCCTTGTTATGTCATTTGTGTCTACAAGTTAATTTCTAACTCTTGTTCCTAGTCTGTTTGAATTATTACTATGTACATTAGAAGTTTTCAAATTTCTCCCAATATGTTCGGTGCTAGCTGCATTTGAACTTTGATCTTTTAAATGCAGGTTGCAACCATGTTTGCAGTGATGAAAGATACAGACTATGTTCAAAAACCACAGTTCCTTCAAAACTTTTGGAATGATTGGCGTAAATTACTAGGGAAAAATCATGTAATACAGAAGCTAGAAGACTGTGATTTCAACCCTATATATGAATGGCATCAGCAAGAAAAGGAGAAGAAGAAACAAATGAGTACTGAAGTAAGTACACATACAGCATTGTGTGTGATTGAGATGCAAAACAATAGTAAGCTGTGAGAGGGAGCAATTACCATCATTTGCACTTATCCTTGACTGCCTACTCAAATTGTTGGTTTATGCATTGAAGAAATCTTTCAAAGTGTTGCTATTGTTGTATAAAAATTGTAGAAGAGTATTTATTGCTTTATTCTCTGCCAAAGAGCAGTAGGGGATCTCTTCATCGTCTATCTGTAACCGAGCACTAATCATGGAGATTCTGGCAGTTTCAGTTGCTTCATGGAAATAACCCTCACTAAAATATGCCATTCTGCATTTGATTGATCTATAGTCTTTAGAAATTAATTTTGCATGCATGTAACCCCATTTCTGCAGTATTATTGTCTCAGTTACACATGTGACTGAAGTTAGCCTTTCGGTCTTGAAGCCAATTATTTCTACCATGGTCTTTGAGAATAAATTTCACATAATGTCATACCTGTTGATTATCAGTATTTGCTATTCATGTAGGAGAAGAAGGCCTTGAAAGAAGAGAAATTGAAGCAAGAGGAGAAGTATATGTGGGCCATTGTTAATGGTGTTAAAGAGAAGGTAACTATCTGTGGCTCAAGTGTTTTTTATTAACATTATAAGGGCAATGTTATATATAGTGAACATGTATGCATAAGAGTGTGCATGCGCATGTGCGTGAGTAGATTTCTGCTTTGCAGTCTACATTCCAACCAATTCTGCTTCATGGTCATGCATTCCAACCAATAATGGGTTTCTTAGTGCAGATTTTATTACTTGAACTCTGCATTTTGTTTTATTAATGCATTCTCATCTCTTGCTTATTAATTGTGCCAATTTGGATGATTTTCTCAATCTCAGGTTGGGAATTTCAGAGTCGAGCCACCGGGTCTATTTCGAGGACGAGGAGAGCATCCAAAGGTTCCAGAGACATCTTTCTAACCATTAACTGAGATATAGAGCTTTCACCTTTGACTTTATTCTATTTTGATACATGTTGCCTCTAGTTATTGAATCTGCACTGCCAGTATTTTTTCCCTTGATAATATGTTGGTATTTACCAGATGGGGAAGCTGAAAAGCCGTATTCGTCCCAGTGACATTACTATAAATATTGGGAAGGACACCCCGATCCCAGAATGTCCTATTCCTGGTGAAAGGTTTGGTTTCTTAGTCTCTCTTTCAATTCGGGGGGAGAATAGAAGGGAGGCACTGCTTTAGCTTCTGTTAAATAGCTACTGTTCTGGTTCGCTGAAACTTATGAAAATTTTGGCTTGGCAGGTGGAAAGAAGTGAAGCACGATAATACTGTTACATGGTTGGCATTCTGGAATGATCCAATCAATCCGAAAGAATTCAAATATGTATTCTTGGCTGCCAGCAGTTCCTTGAAGGGACAAAGTGACAAGGAGAAATACGAGAAGGCAAGGAAGTTGAAGGTATTGATCTATGAGCTTCTGGTTGTTGTAATTTGTGGTATGACTGAGGAGCTTCTGTATTTTGAGTGCAGGACTATATACACAACATCAGAGCAGCTTACACAAAGGAATTTGCAAGTAAAGATATTACAAAGCGGCAAATAGCAGTGGCGACCTATCTTATTGATAAGTTAGCTCTTAGGGCGGGTAATGAGAAGGTATAACAACTAACTAAACAAGGTCCTTGAACCCTGGGCAGTTGATTTGGGCCTTTTAGATTGGATGTAGCATATTTTTATTTGGAGAATGTTTTCTTGCCTTCTGATTGGAGTTTTCTTTCACAGCAGAGGTAGAATGATTAAGGACAAATGAGGCTTTTACTCAGATAATGAACCTGGTGCTTTAAATTGACAAGTTAATTTGAGCCTTTGGGTGTCATTATGATCTGAAGAAAGCCAAATGATAAGAATGGATTCAGGCCTCAAATTACTTTAATTTTTGCTCAAGTCACTTATTCAGTTTATCAAGGATCGCATCCTCCAAATTTACATGCCACTGTTGTCTTTCAAATGGCCTCGACTCTTTTTTATTTTCCTCTTTCTGTGTGGCAACACAATCTTGTGTAAATTATATGCATTTGTGTTTCGATTAAAATTTAGGTTTAATTCTGTTAAGAGGTTTTAGGATATTGGTGAAGGGAAACAAACAGCTAGTTTTTGGATTTTTTAAACTGTAAAGTTATGGAAACATATGATCATGATGTAGAAATTTAAAATTGCATTTGATTCTGAGGCAATATAACCAAAAGTCATGCCTCTTCCTAGGATAATTGAAACTCATCGAATACTTTTCATGGACACAATCACCTGAAATGTGTACTCAGTATGTGTTTTATTTTTATCTTGAGAACTTAGCGAGTGTTTTTGAAGCCCATTTTGCTATGCTGGTTTTTGTTTGCTTCTTACTGGGTTTCCCACTGAACAGTATTGAGGCTTTCCTGTAGCAATTAGCTATATAGATCTTATATGCATTTTCAGTGAGAGCGTTGTCACCTCATTCTGTGATTGCCTGCAGGATGATGATGAAGCTGATACTGTTGGTTGCTGTACATTAAAAGTAGCAAATGTTGAGTGTATCCCTCCGAATAAATTGAAGGTGTGATGGTTTTATGTTTATGTTCAGTTGATTTCAAGTTTAGGGTCTTTATATTTGATAGCTGCAGTAGTGGGCCTGCTTTGGGAAGTGTAGGAGCAAAACAGCATACTTTGAGTTACCTAAATTTAATTGGCTATATACATTTTAACCTTTCTAGTGAATTGCATTAACACTTGCTTCTGCTTGATCGTTCAGTTTGACTTCCTTGGTAAAGATTCAATTAGATATGAAAACACAGTCGAGGTTGAGCTTCCTGTGTACAAGGCAATTGGACATTTTCAAGTTGGTGAGTAAATGGCTGTTAAGATTGGTTATTGAAGGTAATTATCATATTGTAGGGCTGATGAGCAATTTTTTCTTCTTCAGGAAAAAAGCCAACCGATGATCTTTTTGACTCACTTGATACATCTAAACTAAATGCTCACCTAAAAGAACTCATGCCTGGCCTCACAGCAAAAGTTTTTCGTACATACAATGCATCAATCACATTGGATGAAAAGGTAAGTTGCAAACTGAGGTCAATTACAACATTCAAGTTGTGCAATCAATTTCCTGTGGGCCCCTTGGAAGTATGTGAATTTACATGCTCTTGGGGTTATGTTTGATCTGTTGACAGTTATATGAGGAAACAGAAGATGGTGATGTTGCTGAAAAAATTGTCATTTATAACCAAGCAAACAAACAGGTAAGGCCAGTTTGTGGCAAGAAAAGCTTATTGGTCTTTTGTTAGCGATTTTTAGCAGCAGCTCTTGCACCTATAATGTTGACTTCTTTTATTTATTTATTTTTCCCTGCAGGTTGCAATCATTTGTAATCATCAACGTACTATTTCAAAATCTCATGATGCACAAATGTCAAGATTGACTGAGAAAATTGAGGAACTTAAGGTAATTAAGTTTAGAACTCTACAAGAAATTTTTTACCCTCATTTTAGAGAAATTAGGAGAAAATCTGCCTTCAGGGATTCCGGGCTGCTTTCTGCTATGCTCTCCTCTTTTAATGCATACATTTATTGTGGTATGGTAGTGTGTTTGCTGCCAAGCCAACTCTTTCTACAGCACACTGTCGCCCTTTGCATATTGGAAACTTTGCCCATTCCTTCATGCTGCTTATTGTGTTTGTGGAGTCCATACTTTGAGCTGACTCTTGTTTTGCTTGCAGGGGACACTGAAGGAGTTGAAAACGGATCTGGACAGGGCCAAAAAGGGGAAGCCCCCATTGAAGGATGCAGATGGAAAGCAAAAGAGGAACTTGACTCCTGAAGCGTAATATAGCTTGTGCCCTACTGTTTGAATATATTGTGCATCATGTGTGTATATTTTTTTTTGTTCATTTTGATTCTTTGAATTCATTTACAGCATAGAGAAGAAGATAGCAGCAGCCAATCAAAAGATTGAGAAAATGGAAATGGCCATGAAGACCAAAGAGGATCTGAAAACGGTGGCATTGGGCACATCCAAAATCAATTACCTTGATCCTAGGATTACAGTTGCATGGTGCAAGCGTCATGAGGTTCCTATTGAGAAGGTAGCTGCTTCTGAAATTATTTTTTGGATGAATTAATTTAACCATCAGTTATGCTTCTTGCCTTCTATTTGGTTCTGCAGCACTGACTGTTTAAATAAAGTTGTTTCTTATCACATTCCTTGTTCCTTTGCCACAGATATTCAACAAGTCTCTCTTAGCGAAGTTTACTTGGGCGATGGATGTTGACCCCCAATTCAGATTCTGATCGTAGGAAGTAATGATTGGTTATCCAAAATCAAACAGCCTCTCCCCTTCCCATCCAACGCTCAAAAAAAAAAAAAACAAAAAAAACAAAAAAAAAACAGAGAGAGAGAGATGAACCTATGTTCTTTTTATTCTCTCCTTACAGTCTATTTAACATTTTTTTTTCCTCTTATTTTAGCGAAAAGGTAATGTATGCTCTTCTAATCTAATCCTGGGGCAAATTGGCCCTTCCATCGCACTGTTCCTCTCATTTAAACCATTCAATGGTGAAAAGGAGTTGCAGCAAGAATTGTTTACTTTGGGTGCTAACAGTATAAATGTAGCAAATACGTTGAATGTCTCAAACTTAGGTAAATTTTACTGGTTTTCTTTGTCAGTAGGCAACGCAGCCTGCTATCTCTTCTAATACATACAGTGAATAAGGACGAGCTTGTTAAGTTTCTTGAATTGAACCTGCAATTTTTGGTTTTGGTCATGCGTAATATGTTTCGAAACATGTAAAACCCAAATCGGACCTTTTAAAAATCATTTTTTTTTTAACTCAACTAAGTTAGTTTAATGCAGCAAAGATGCCGAGTTGGAGGGTGATAAGGAATATCAGACTCCATCGGGAAGAATTATAACGTGTAATGAGCTCAAGGTGTTAATGGCGCGCAACAGGTTGCGGTCTTAGTATTTTTTCTTTTTTTTTTTTTAAGAGAAGTCATAAGTATTTTTGGTTAAAAATAAAATTTTGACTTACATGAAAAATTTATTATAAAATTGAATTAAAATTTTACTTCAATTAAAAGTTAAAATCTTTTAACTTTGAACTCAAGGATTTTAGTTTATGTTATATTCTTTTCTTCTTCTTCTTTTTCTTCTTCTTTTCTAACTTAAATAGTCTATTTAATACGTTTTTTTAATCATAAATTATTTGTGTGCAAATAATTTATGGATTATGATTCAAATTAAAACGTCATAATTCATTAGTGATATATCAAATGGACTCTAAATCATTTAGAACTATACTAGCTACATACTCGTGTTACGTTGTAGTTCAACAATCGTTATTTATGTACGAGTTAACAATTCATATGGTGCAGTACGAATAAAAGTTTTATTTCTAGTGATTAATGTAAATCGAATCTATATTAAGCGAAATCGTTTGATTTATATATATTTATTAACAAAATATTTAATACTATTAGCATAAAAATTTGTATTTGAATAATTGGGAGGTTCTTTCAAAACATTATCTAACTTATTTTATTTAAAAAAAATTAGAATATGAAAAAATAAATAACAAATAATTGGTATTATGTGTATAGATATATAGTTAATTTCTAACAAAACTAATAATATATATATATATATATATATATATATATATATATATATATATATATATATATCATACTTAACGATTCGTAGCATATAGAATAAATAGAAAAATATACAAAAAAAAAAAAATCTATCTAAATTGTATGAAATATATTGAAGTTAATAGATTAAAATAAAAACTACAACCAAATTAGTTTTGATAAATTCTAAATAAAACTTGTAAATTTTTTTAACCGATTATTAATTTTTTAAAAAATTGAGTCAAACTATCTAAAATATACTTTTAGCTCTCTCTCTCTCTCTCTCTCTCTCTCTCTCTATATATATATATATATATAATCATAATTTATAAATTATAATAATATATTTTAAAAAATAAACCCTTATTTAAAAAGCATAAAAATAATTTATTGTATAAATTATAATAATATATTTTTAAAAAATAAAACACCGACGTTCTATAATTTTATTCCAAAATTTATATATTAAAAAACCAAATTTATTAACAAATAAAATTATATCAAAACATTAATTTGATGAGAATTTTAATAAGAAATATTAATTGAAGAAATAAGTTTTAAATAATAAGAGTAATATAATCGGATATATATATTCAAATCAAATCTTAAAAAATATCATATATATTTTATCATTTTTAAACCGTACATAAAAATAAAAAAATAACGATTTATTTTTTATATTTTTCTTGCCTATATATATATATATATATATATATGAAAAAGAAAGAAAGAAATAAAGAAAGAAGTCCAGGCGCTAGTTGGGTTGAATATCGGTATATGAAAGGCCTTAGTTGTTGTTCAATCCGAAGGAAAAAAAAAACCCAAAAGAGTCAGGGTATGGTAAATGAATAGTAGCACTTTTCAAATACCCCGTGCCTTGGATGTTATTCAATCCATAAGGGAAGAAAAACCCTAAAAGAGTTAAGGTACAATAAATGAACAAGTAGCACTATTCAAATACCCTAGTGTTTTTAGTTTTCTTTATAAAATTTCCATATATGCGACGGATAGGTTTGTCAAGCCCCCTACCCTACCTATACACGCCGTGCTCCCATCATTAGGGAGAGTAAAATCTAATAAATTTATTAGAAGCAATAGATATGAGGATGTTAAGCACTTTTCTTAACAAAGCTAACTGTAAAGAAGAAAGTCATAGGGGAGAAGAATAAGAAGAATGGGATAAGAGAGAGATTCTTCAAGAATTAATTTCTATTATTAGCAAATGAATGAATTCCCAACTAGCCATTACAACATTTTATATTGCAAATAATGCTTAGCTAGCTTAACTAACCGATGTTATGTCACTCAATCTGTTACAACTAATTGCCATGTCACTCATTAGTTACAACGTAAACCGTCTCGCAAACTAGTCGTTATTATTACCGTAGCTCCTACGACTCATTTATTATTGCTCCCTTGCCAACTTCGGGCTTCATCCCACACCTTTCCATTATTGCTCCTACACTCGTTACTCACCTCTCGCCTTCTAGTAACTTATTAAACCATAGCAATACCCCCTAACAAATCTTTGTCCTTAAGGATCAAAATAGAAATTGGAAATTTGATGTTTTAAATCCTTTAGCACTTTTCATGTAAGCATCATCCATTGTTATTCCTACCCACTAAATCAGTCCCATAACTACCGCTTTGTTATGTTGTTTCATAAGCTTGCAATCCAACATAACAATAGGATACATTGTAAAGTGACCATCACCATTTAAAGATGGCAGATTAATGGTAACCATCGCATTGTTTCCCACCTTCCTTTTCAAAAGAGAAACATGAAAAAGTGGGTGGACAAGAGCTGGAGCGGTAACTCTAACTTATAAGCCACATGTCTAACCTTCGCGAGAATAGTATAAGGGTCGAAATACCTAGGATTCAACTTGAAATTCTTCCTCAATGCCACACTAACTTACCTATAGGGCTAAAGTTTGAGATAAACCTTATCCCCTACTTGAAACAACCTTTCGATCCTCTTTAGATCGATAATCTGCTTCATCCTATGTTGTGTCTTACTCAATCGAGCACCTAGGAACAAGTTTATAGTTCTTCGTTCCCACACCACATCCTTAACGATAGTAGCAATAGTTATCCCAAGTAAAATTAGCTCCCTATGGGGAGGAGGATAGCCATTGAAAGCTTGGAATGGTGACATCTTAATGGCCGAATGAAAACTTGAATTGCACCACCACTACGCCAAATGTAGCCACTTGTGCCACCTTTGAGGATAATCCATATACATATACCTTAGGTAAGTTTCCAAGCACCGGTTTAGCCTCTCGGCTTAGCCATCTAATTGAGGATGGTAAGTTAAGCTCATGCGCAGCTAGACCCCTAAAGTCTTGAATAACTCTTTCCAAAACACACTTGTAAAGACCTTATTCCTATCAATAACAATGGAGACAAGTACTCCATGCAACTTGTAAATGTGCTCCATGAATGTTTTAGTCATATCTTTGGTCGTGAATGGGTGAGAAAGGGCAAGGAAGTGGCCATACTTTGTGAACCTATCCACAACCACTAAGATATTGCCTTTACCTTCGATTTAGGCAAGCCCTCTATGAAATCCATAGAAATATCTCTCTAAGCTCCCGTAGGAATAGGCAAAGGTTATAGTAGCTCCGGATAAGTTACTCTTTCGATTTGGACCTCATGCAAGTGTCACATTCCGCCACTTGTTTTTTAATGTATAACTTCATTGCTAGCCAATAAAAGACTGTTTGAGTGTCCTTTAGGTATTCCGAATACTCGTATGACCCCCAATGGTAGATTAATGCACAACCTTCACTTACCGAGTCCTCAATTCCTAATCCTCACCAATATAAATCTTGTGCTTGTACCTCAATATGCCTTCACTATACGAAAATTGAGGGAAAACACTAGCTTGAAGCTCCTTAGCCGTAATGACCTCTTATGCTTTGTCATCCCGCCGATATGAAGCAATAATATCCCGATACCAAGTAGGAACAAGAGTGGTGATGGCATAAAGATGGTCTCGCTTGGAGACTATTCTCAGCACCATTAAAATGAATTCTTTGAGACAAAGCATCAACCATTATGCTCTCCTTTCCCTTCCTAGATTGGATATCAAATCTCAGCTCTAACAACTTCGTAAGCCCCTTCCTTTGAATGGGAGTGCGGATCCGTTGTTCTAGGAGGTATTTAAGACTTTCATAGTGAGTCTTAATACTGAATTTATCTACTTCCGGATAATGCTTCCATTTATCCACCGTCATGAGAATGGTCAAGTACTTTTGTTCATAAATGGACAACCTTTGATGTTTTAGACACAAAGCCTTGCTAAATAATGCCAAGTGGTCCGGCCTTTTAAGACAATATTGCTCCCACACCATTGCTACAAGCATTTTTTTCCAACATAAAAGGCATGTGAAAGTTTGGCTAAGCCAACACTAGTGCATTACATAACCTTACCTTCAACTCGCTCTAAAGTTTCCTAGGCTCGCTCATTCCAATGGAAGTCGTTCGTCCTCAATAAATCTCGTTAATAGTTTACTAATTAAACCATAATTATGAATAAATTTCTAGTAGTAGCCAGCTAATCCTAAAAATCCTCTTAATTCTCTAACTGATTATGGAACTAGCCACTTACCAACAACTTCGTTTTGCTTGGTTCATTTGCCACCCTTACGCTTGA